AGCCGAGCAGGGATGCTGAGCGGCGCTCACAGCCGAACAGGAAGGCTGTGCGACGACCTCAGCTGAACAGGAAGGCTGTGCGACGAACCCAGCTGAACGGGAAGGCAGAGTGAAATCCAGAAGAGGGGAGGGAGGGCGGGGTTCGGGCTCATCCTCGAGCATCCACTCCAACCCGTGTAGCTTGGCGTATTCCACCACGAACTCCGGGTGTGGTATGGTGCTTGAGATGTGCTGCGATGGCAATCCGAGATCGCGGTTAGCCTGAACCATCCGTGCCCACGACCTTCTTCCCTGCTCCGTGATCCGGAGATACCACTCCGCGTAGTCGTTGTACCAGGCTTCCATCGGAGAGAAAAAAAAATTCGAATAACTAAATAAAATCTGCTGCTTCTAGTTCACGGTCTTTCGTTCTGTCACGTTTCGGGTGGATGAGGCAGAAGCAATCGCAGATTTACCATTTAATAGTGCACAAACAAACAATGAAACAAAGACAACTTGGCAAAGACTCTGTGGCATGAGACAAAGACACTGACATAAACAACGTGAGTCTAAGACAACGAAAGACAAGGAGAAAGTGCAGAAAAGGACTATAAATACACGAGTGCTCATTAACAGAAACGTGAATCAGGTGCATGAAGTAGCGCATGTGGTCATGTGGTGTAGTGCAGTGGCTGATGGGAAATGGAGTCCGGGTTTCCCAGATACGTGACAATCGGAGTTAGCACAGAGTTGAAGCTGTTGATTAGGTTTGCAACAACACTTTACTGTTTACTAATGCCTCGGGTGTGCATTGTTTCAAATATTTCAACAGACAATTATTCTGCTTATACCACAGTCACCACAAGACATTGTTCAGATGTTTTATTTTAAGACAATTGTTAGGTTTTTGTCCTTAAAACGCTCTTGTGTTTAGAATTAATTTATTACGCATCCCATCTCAAGCCTCCGTTGCTAATTCCAAAAGGTCAATTTAGAACTATACGGAGCCAGTTATTTGCAGTTATTGGGGAGAGAGGGAGGGAGAGAGAGAGAGAGAGAGAGAGAGAGAGAATAAGAGAGAGAATAAGAGAGAGAGAGTTCACTTTTTTTTTTCATTTCATGCTGGTAATATAAAAATAAATAAATAAGAATCGATAGGCCGACTTGTTCACAGGTTATTTATTACTGCAGAAAATACAATAAATAATTAAATAAATAAATAAACATTAATACTTGTTCACCGGCTTTTCTGTCTCGTTACTGCCATCATACATGCTTTCTCTTTCTTCTCTCCCTCTCCCTCTCCAGTAACTGCAGATCAATGACTCAAGCCTCCGCTTCACCTCGGGGCCGCATTACCATCTCGGGTGCACATTATTTTTCTGATAATTAAAAAGACCGTCGTCAGTTATCACTTTCTTATTTCTGGGAAATCTAAATGTTCTGTCGTTTTGTCTGTTGTTAAGTGTGTGTGCTGCGGTGGACAGTCGGCTAATTTGCCCGTTATTTCCGTTAACTCGGCGAAGTGATATGGAACAGTAATGTGGTCAAGACCTGACTGGAGCTACTTTAGCTGTGCATTTACAGAAAATAATTGCACACCTCAGAACGTCTGTCAGCCAATGAGAATCAAGTATTCAACAGCCAGGATGTCATCTAGTAATTACAGTAATTCTGACATGGCCTGAACGCAGTGCAATTATAAGTGAGGGTCAGTGAGGGCAGCTGACAGGAACAGTGGTATACATGTGTTTACCTCTGACTGCCGTCTGACTGTTGGCCATGTTTTTTATTGTATGTATTATTCATACTGATTTCTTTAACTTTCTGGACTGTCCGTCCATCCGTCTGTCTATCTATGTTTGTGTGTCTGTTTATGTAGCAACGTCACCATCCTCCTTTCCTTGTTTTTTTTTTTTTTTTTTTTTTCATCGTTCTTTTGTTAACATTGAGGCTTGGACTTTCTAATCCCGCCCACATCGATGTTATTAGCATGCTCCATAAGTTCGCAATGTTAATGCTTATGTTATCAATAATACTTTGCTTCCTACAGACACACACGGTCTCTGTATCCCCTGTAATCAGATTCAGCAGCTCATGTCTTCAGGTTCCTGCAGTTTATACACTGACTCTCATGGGGTTTATTGCTTTCTGAGACATTAAAAAAAGGACACTCAATTATTATTGTTTTATCTGTCTAAAAGAAAATCCATACAAACTCCAATTACACACCCTATCTGTGGTAAAGTGCATCTCCTGTAAGTGAAATGTAAGTAATTACAGAAAAATGCAAGTGAACAAAACAGTAGGTTTGGCTGCTGCAACTAAAACAAATTACATTTGGCGCTGTGTGGAAGTAAACACAGTTAGCTCAAATTATTGTTAGTGTCCCACAGAAGTAAGCAAAGTTAGCATTCAATTTCTGTTAATGTCCCGCAGGAGTAAGAAGAGCTAGCATAAATTACCGCTAGCATCCCCGAGAAGTCTAATTAGCACAACTGAGGGTCAGGGGCCTTCGAATTGAATGTTAAACAGGCATATTGTGAAACAAGAATCAATTGCTGTTAGTGTTCCTGTTAATGTACCACAGAAAAAAGAGACGTTGTTACAAATGTATGTTTTTATCCTATCGAAGTTAGCACAGCTAGTGGAAATTTCTGTTACCAACCCTGGAGATCGTATCTGTGTCCCCAGGGTCCTACAGTACATATGTTCCCCAGGTTTATTTGGCAAATAATGAACACGTGGTGATTTTAAGTTGGACTCTTGGTCTTCCGCATAAGTGAAAGCTGGGACATGTTCAAAGTTAACATTTTGTTCCTTTTTATGACCATCTACATGTGTTTTATAGGCTACAATATGGCATTTCTTCAGTTTAGTGCAGTGGTTTTCAAAGTGGGGGCCGCGGTCCCCTTGTGGGGGGCGCCCGGGGGGCCTCAACAAACAGTGTCGGCGCCACCAAGCCCATCCCTCCCACTAGTATGTTTTCTCTTTCTCACCCTCAGACAACCACACACACACACACACACACACACACACACACACACACACAATCAATTGTTAATGTGATGTAAAGATGTAAGATGTAATTATTATTAACAAAAAAGGGGGGATATATTTAGAAGTCTGTATTTTTAATGTGTTTTAAAGACATCTTGCCGGGGGCGGGGGGGCGGGGGGCGATTGGTGCTCGGTCACATGTTAATGCCATTTGTGGGGCCTTGCCCTGGAAAAGTTTGGGAACCCCTCGTTTAGTGTATGCATTTTACTATTGTTCAAGAACTGGAGGAATGTAGACTAATGTAGACTTTTAAAGCAGCACTAATGAGGGGTCATCATGTACAACCTAGTTAGTTTTCCAAGTTCAAAAGTTTAATAAATGTCAAGTGTGGACGAAGGATAGCTTTTTTAAACTAATGTATGTTGTTATTAATTTAAACGTGTATTTTTTCTTAACAGAATATTGAACTGGGAAACACGGCCCTGGGACCTCCTCCCCCATCCTTGTAAGGAAAGTTAGCATAAATTGACAAAGAAAAATGAAAAGAGCAATTATTGTCAGAAATAAGCAAAATTCATGTTGAATTTCTGTTAACATCACACAGGAGTAATGGTGTGTTCAAGTCGTACGTATGAGTTGTACACACATGAATGCCACCACAAAGTCATAATTATGAGTGGGGAAACGCTGGATATTCTTTGAGCTCGGAGTGTCGGAGTTGGGGGGCGTGTCAGTAAGAAAAAATGGTGGAATCAATAGGTAAATTTGTTGAAATTGAATGTTTACTAGTCTCAGAAGCTTATTTCAGTTATTATGCAGCAAGTTATTGTCAGGTGTAATGATCGGCTATGATGATGTCATGTGGGGTCAAGGGGCCTGCTCTCTCGTTCTCTGTGACTTACACATTGTTTGCTGACACAATGTTAAGGTACCATTTATGGGATGTTTTACTCAGTTAATCCTCTTCTAATGACCGACCTGTAACCATGCTGCAACCATAAACCTATGGTTTTTGTAAACCTTCAATGTAATAAACGAAGAACAGCACTTTCACTTTGTGTCCGGCTGAGTTATATTAACTTTCCTGAGAAACCCATGAGGATCTAGCTGGATCCTTACACAGGCTTTTTTATTTACAGTAAAACAAGCTAATTTCCTGCACAAAATATGATAGCATTGTACGATTATGATATAATATATAGCGATAAAATTTACAGTGTAACATACAATCAAAAATATGTTTTAAAAAAGCAAAATAAAAAAAAAGCACCTGATGCGCATTATTTGTTCTTAATTCAGTAGAAGTAGAGTTTAAAAAAACCCTGCTGTATTTTTTGTGTAGTTAATGAAGAGAAGGTACACCGCCATTCTGCTCCAACCAAAGTGAACTGAACGTATTTGACGCCGTAATTACGACTTCCCGAATCATAAATACGAACTTCCCAGGAGGACTTGAATGCACAGTAATAGAAGTTAGCTATCTGGTACCATCCGTCTAATTGAAATTAGCATGGGCTTTTGTCAGTGTCCATCAGAAGTAAGCAAAGTTAGCATTAAAATAACATTTCTGTATTTGTTAGTGTCCATCAGGAGCAAGAGATTTTAGCAAATAGGTTAGCTAATATCCCTGAGTAAGTAAAGCTAGCATAATTGACCCTTGGTAGCTTCAGAATGAAATAACACATTTGATAGTTTTTAAAGGCATACCGTGAAGCAAGAATTAATTGTTGTTAGTATAATATATTAACACCAAGTTTTCCATCCATCCATCCATCTTCTACCGCTTACTCCTTCTTCAGGGTCACAGGGGAACCTGGAGCCAATCCCAGGGAGCATCGGACACAAGGCCTTGTGTTCGATGCTCCCTGGGAGCAGTCCATCACAGGGCACAATCACATTCATACACTATGGACACTTTAGACACGCCAATCAGCCTACCATGCATGTCTTTGGACTGGGGGAGGAAACCGGAGTACCCGGAGGAAACCCCCGCAGCACTGGGAGAACATGCAAACTCCGCACACACGGCCGGGGATCGAACCCCGGACCCTGGAGGTGTGAGGGAAACACGCTAACCACTAAGCCACCGTGCATTTTCATCCCATGAAAATGAGGACAGTTAGCATAAATATTTTTACAAACAAATTACTGTTTCTGTCCTTCAGAAGTAAGCTAAGGTAGCAATCAGTGTCTGTTAATGTCCAATAGGAGTAAAGTTAGCATCATTAACATCCTGAAGTAAGCAAAGTTAGCATTAAATAACACTTCTGTATTTGTTATTATCCCTCAGGACAATGTAACATTAACAGAAATTAAGAAAAGCAAACACATATTACTTTAATTTATGCACAGCTATAAACTGATGTTACCCATTACCATCCCTCAAATGGAAGCTAGAATAAATTGCTGTTAGCATGCCACGGAAGTAAGAAAATAGCACAAGTTATTATCAGTGTCCTTCAGAAGTAAATGAAGTTAGTATATGATTTAAGCAGTTGGAAATGTCGTGAAATACTATTCTTGTTCCTCACAACCACAGAAATAAACCCATTACTATCATTCTCTAAACACCGCTAATGGAGTTAGCCTTGTGTTTTTCTCGTTAGTGCTAATGAACAGCCCATCACTCTGAGTGCATCTTTTAACTTGATCCTCTTGACTTAATCAAATGACCCGTTGCTTTTTTTTTCCTTCATTAATTCAAATCTGCCTGACTTATTAACAGTCACCAGTGCTCTCATTAAGAGGTGTGGGTTAATTGATCGAATTGCTTAATTGGATGGTATGTACGTTTGGTACTCGATGTGAGTGGGAGGTTTAATGAATTGAATCCAACGTCCAAACTCGGAGTCCACAAGTAAAAACTAATTTCATTTCACATCAAGATGCTAATAAATCAAGTCTGCGAGTTATTCGTTGTTATTTACGGACATGATGTTTAAAACGGAGATCAGTGAGAAACTGAAATATATCAGAATATTTGTAGTACCTCGCTTTGATTTGCCTAGCAAGGGTTAATTACATCACTGTGGGTTTACTAGCCTGCTGAAACAATTATCAGGCTCAAGGATGGATGCATACACACATACACACACACACACACAGTCACACACACTCTCAATCCATTATTTTTTTTTTTGTTGTATTATGGGCATGACTGCGCTGAAAACACTAAATACAAAAGCCTGTCATTCCCAGTTAGTTAAAGAAGCAGCAGGTCCCTGATACAAGATATGTCTTTATTTCTGTCTAGATGGAAACTAGACACCATTTTGTAAAGTCAGGTCTAAACATCTGAGTCCACTACCAAAAACTAATAGTTAGCTTTTTTGATTGCACTCGGGTTGTTTTTGTTTCTTTCTTTCTTTGTTTTAGTAAATCATGTCAAGATCATTCATGTTAACTAGCTAGCTAGCACTAGCAGTGAAAATGAGCTATACATATCTATGAATATGAATTAAATCCTCACATAAAAACCTGTCACATTAGGATGTCAGCTAGCTGCCTAGCATTACCATAATGACTATTAACAATTATGAATGACTTCACAGTAAAACACATTAAATATGCTGCTATTGGAATATTTGGGATGTGCTTAGCGATCCTGGTTCTAATTTGGTGACGTATTTTCACAAGGGGAACATCTGCTAGTGCTAGCTAGAAAAACAGATTCCAATAATCTCAGACATACGTGATAAAGATTAGGTTTCACTAGAAACAAAAGAGCAAGATCTTCTTTACTCAGTCACTAATTTTCAATGATATTCAAAGTCATATTTATGAGAAAACCAAGTAATTGAGACAGCAAATATTGGACTCCCAGAATGCAATGCAACTATACAACTTAGCTGCACTGAGTTACAGCAGAGACACGGTTGGGTTAGTTAGCAAACTAAAAGACAAGCGTGAAGGAGTATTATCGTGAAAGTTGAAGCTATGGACATTGATGAAAGACATTAAAACTAAAGTGGGGGGAAAACAAACAGAACAACAACAGTCTTGTTAAATCTCTTATTTATTTACTTATTTATTTATTTTATTGAAGCAAAAAAAAAAGTATCGCAATACCTATAACCCATGTGAAAAACTAATTGCCCTCTTAAACTTTAAATTCGGTTGTACCACCTGTAGCAGCAATAACTGCAACCAAATACTACTGATAAACTGGAGATCAGTCTTTCTCAGCGCTGTGGAGGAATTTTGGCCAACTCGTCTTTGCAGAACTGCTTTAGTTCAGCCACACTGGAGGGTTTTCAAGCATGAACTGCCTGTTTAAGGTCCTGCCACAGAATCTTAATTGTGTTAAAGTCAGGACTTTGACTAGGCCACTCCAAAACTTTAATTTTGCTTTTTATGAGCCATTCAGGGGCACGTTCGCCTCACACCTCCAGGGTTGGGGGTTCGATTCCCAGGGATAGGCTCCAGGTTTCCCATGACCCGGAAAAGGATTAATCATTATAGAGCCATTTAGAGGTGGACTTACTCCTATACTGCATAATCGAGTGGGCCTTGAGTTTCAATTCACAGACTGAAGACCAAACATTTTCCTTTAAGATTTTCTGGTAGAGAGCTCAGAATGCATGTTTTCCCCAATTATTGCAAGTTGCCCAGGTCCTGAAGCAGCAAAGCATCCCCACACCATTACACTTCCACCACCATGCTACACCGTAGGCATGATGTTCTTTTTATTCTTTTTTCAAGGTCTACACTCTTCCACGAATGCCATTTTTGCCCAGTGCCTTTCTGATAGTGGAGTCATGACCTGTGACCTTTATTGATGCAAGAGAGGCCTGTAGATGATGTCCTTGGCTCTTCTGTGACTTGCTGGATGAGTCTTCACCGTGCTCCTGGAGGAATTTTGGAAGGTCAGCCTCCTGGGAAAGTTCACTACTGTGCCGAGTTTATCCATTTGGAGATAACGGCTCTCACTGTGGTTCTTTGGAGTCCCAGAGTCTTTGAAATAGCTTTGTAACCCTTCCCAGGCCGACGTATTTCAATCACCTTCTTCCTCATCTAAACTTTGGCATAGTGTGTTACTGGGTAAGATCTTTTAACCAACTTCATGCTGTTGAAAAAGTTCTATTTAAGTGTTGATGTGATCAAACAGTATTTGCAGTAATCAGGCCTGGTTCTGTCTTGTCCAGCTGAACTCCATTATGAATGCAGTTTCATAGATATGGGGAATTCGTAACTATGGGGACAAATACATTTTCACACACGCCCAGTTGGTATTGGATTTTTTTTTTTGCTTCAGTACATAACATTATCATTTCAAACTGTATTTTGTCTTTACTCAGGTTGCCTTTGTTTTATCTTCGATTTCATTTTAATTTCTGAATCAATTTAGTATGAGATCTACACTGTATAGCTAGAAATATCACTGACAATTATACACACTTGATGATGAATGAAATAAATGAAAGTGCCTTAAAAGTTTCTCATTCCTGTCAGGTTAGCTAGATGGAACAACATCTGTTAAAATACCTGAACATATCAGAAACCCAATGACTTCCTTCTTCCTACAGATGACAGATGTGTTCTAGCATTTCCTTAAAATAGCAGGCATTTTTTAATACATAGCTTCATGATCATTTTAATTAAATATCTTAACATAATATAAAATCTAATAAAATAAAAACAACTTTCAGTAGTACACTAAGACTTTCGTATCCTTCCTATGTATTTCTTTTCTTTGCTTTGGGCCTGCTCCTTTCTTCTCCTCAAAGGTTAAACAAATCGATTTGTACATGTGTGATACTCTGAGCTGTGGTTTGAAATATAATGTCACTTTCCCTCCTTCATCTCCGAGATCCTCCACACTGCCAAGGCTGCTGAGCTGAATTCTAAGAGAGTCTTACTTCTGTTATTTTTGCTCTTTTTCCCTTCCTGCTCATGTTTATTTCCTTCAGAGAAGATTCAGTTTGACAGTAAGGGGAATTGAAAAGTTTGTCTGTGGTAGCCATCACACATCTGATCAGACATCGCCCACTTATATATATATATATATATATATATATATATATATATATATATATATATATATATATATATATATATATATATATTGCAGCCTGTCTTGCAGCTAGTTGCTCTGTAGCTAAGTTGAATTAGCATATGTGACAGAACAAGTGGTGCATATTGGGAGTGTTTTATGCTTAAAAATCTTTTATGTTTATGTACCAAAATATATAAACTGAACATACTATATTTAATTATACTCTACAAGATATAGATGCATAGTATTTTCTTTTTCTTCTTAATAGAACCTTAATGAACTTACCTGCTTGATATTGTTTTAGCTATTAAGCCATTAAACACATTGTCTCAATCATCAAACTGTTCTTTAAAGTGTAAAATATTAAAGATATCAGATCGAAATAAATACAGTCACCATTATAGATACCACATTCTAGTCATAATTCTTAATAATCCTTTCGGTATTTTTATTTATTTTGTAGTACCAGCTGCGATTTTAATATTATAAAACATACTCCCTTTCAGACAACTCCGGCATATTTACCGCTGCACTGTTGCTTTTGCCTTCCTATTATTTCTGTTGTTAGAGCTCCTTTTTGATCTTTTTTGAGCCTACATTCATGCAGTTTCTGCTCTGTTCGTTGGTATATTTGCTTCTCTGTATGTGGGCACGCTTTCTTTGAATAACTCTCAGTGCAAACTGTAACATGTATGCAATTTTATCAAATGTAATGCACATTAGCCTACAGAGAACCTGAATTGACAGCTGAATGTTATTAACCAAACAAGCATGTCACTACTGAATCAACGTCACAACTCAAACAAGCATGGCACTACTACTGCAATAAGTCTAACAACCCAAACAAGCACATCACTACTGAAGGAACAATGTCACAGCCCAAACAAGCATGTCACTACTGAATCAACAATCTCACAACACAAACAAGCATGTCACTACTGAATCATCAATGCCACAACCCAAACAAGCATGTTACTACTGAATCATCAATGTCACAACCAAAACAAGCATATCACTACTGAATCAACAATCTCACAACCTAAACAAGCATGTCCCTACTGAAGCAACAATGTCACAACTCAAACAAGCATATCATTA